TACTTTAAATTAAGGTAAAGTTAGATTGAGGTTAATCTCCTAATGTATATCTATTATTTTATGAGTTTAGTTAAAGGCGTATTCCACATTAACCCGTGTACCATCCAACTTGGTCATTAAAAATGCATATATATATATATATATATATATATATATATATATATTCTTTCACCCATAATATATACACTGCAACAAGGATAGTCATAATGGACATATCACTAGTATAATGAAGTAACCAACATAATAAAAAAATAAAAAAATCCATAACATGAATGGTTAACAATAATTTCAGTTAGCACCATATATTCGATTATTCCCACATATACCTCCTTATATATATATATATATATATATATATATATATATATATATATATATATATATATATATGTGTGTGTGTGTGTGTGTGTGTGTGTGTGGTTAAAGGACAAATTACAGATCAATCGCCCTATCAGTTTTCATCCGTTCATATACACACATATACACATACACACATATATGTACATATATATATATGTAAACACAATATTCTTATAAACCCATCTATATGTGCCAAGAAACCCAAAACATGCCCATACATAATCAACAAAACCCGCACACACACACAGACGCACATATATATATAGGCAAATCCATATTCAATTAACCTTACATATTAAAATACAATATATATATACACATACATATACATATATATACACATCATAACCATAAATGTCAGATTGTTATAAATATTTCTATGTGAACATATACTACAACATTAGAGCAATATAGATACAGATAGAAATTTATATAATCCACGAGAAAGGGTACTTTTCTATTTTTTAAAGCGGTGTTTGTGTCTGCATTTTGATATGAGTTCACTTCGAAGGTTAAGCAAATTCTCTTGGTTTTTATATTTAATTGTTAAATATTATTAAATTATAATATTAAAATATTTTCTCCAGCAGACAAAGGTTACAACGGTCCCTGAAGTACTTAGGAATTTGAGCTCTGGATATTAATTTCCACTTCAATTGCGACGTGAGACCTTTGTCCTATAAGGTTCCAGTCTGGATAAAGCTGTTTGATTTTTGAGAGACCTATTGCTGAAGGAGTGTCTGTGTTTATATAAGCGTTGCTTCTAGTTTACTACAGATATTCCAATGTACGTCTTTTCCTTTTGGTCTGTCTTTTGACATAGAGCACTCCCTAAATCTATATCCCTCTGGAAGTTCTATACGGATTACTATATTATTTAATTACTTTATATATATATATATATATATATATATATATATATATATATATATATATAGTCGGAGAGCCGAGTTCGAATTTCAATCAAGCTCGTTAGATTTACTTACATGCAATTACACTTGAGAAAGTTGTATAAACCTATCCCTTCTCTCAGCAGCTATGAGTCAATAGCAGGACAGACTGAGCCCTATAGCCTTGCTTAGCAACCACTCTAATTGAAACTCCAGGTAGGAAGATATCGTTTCTGGTCTGATCAGTTGGTAGTTGGGCGCCACCAAGACACACGCATGAAAGAATACCTCAACAAATTAAGGTATCAAAAGTGGAGAAATATCCAGGAACATGAACATTTGAAGACATTTCGTAACCATTGTTAATCTTTAAGCATTAATTAATCTTTAGCATTGTTAATCTTTAGCATTGTTAATCTTTAGCATTGTTAAGCTTTAAGCATTAATTAGTTAAGCATTATCTAATAACAGTTCAAGGTAATATATTTTTATTTGTTACTTTCATTCCACTCATGTTCGGAAAAAATGTCACCGTGAAAAGTTTGAATTTTAGAAAACATTTTACAGCAAGCAAAAAGAAGCAAAAAATTTATAATACCCAGAAATTCATATATCCAGTGACAGGACCCAAAGAATGTGAGTTCAATACCCGGTTAAGGCAGTGGAGAACTTTCAGAAGGAAATTAAAAGGAGATAACTGATAACTGACATCCATCAAACATGGCACGTGGAACTAGAACAGTCTACCCCAGTGAGCGAAATAAAGGGTTCAGTTCGACATTCCAACCACCTGAAGAAGGCCGGAGCGTACAACGGCCGAAACGAGGACAATAGTCCGAATAATGTAAATAATGTACATAATACCTCATCTCAGAAATATCGACTAAAAAAAAATCAGTGTTCAACAAAGAAATTGCGAATAATTTATGTTTGGCTTAGAAAATTGATTGCTAAAACCATTCGAAAGTGTTGCCTTATATACTCTCTTGATTGTGAAGACAGAGAAAAGGAACAAATATTTTAAAATGAAATTGTAACCATTATGACCGGACCGGGAAATAATGTTTATTCAATTTACTTAAATGTAATTAGAATCCAAAATACGAAAATCAATATTAAAGTAAATATTTTAAAACAAGAAGCAGTTCTTTTTCTGATATGATCATTCGCTGACGGAGAAAATCTATTATAATGCATTTTCACTTATATATATAAGTATGTGTTTAGGACAGTAATCGTAATGCAATAGGTACACGTGTTATAGATAATGAATTCGTTCATTTGTGCGTTTCTATAAATAACTGCTTACTTCAGGTTAGTATCGTATATTTTCATGTCTGTCGTTGAATAAAGGTTGATATATTCTTATTCACATTATATACAGTCGAACTAAAGATCGGCGTATGGACCAGTTATATAAAAATTTAGTATAGGAGAAAAAAGGAAAATGAACCTGGAATAGGCTGTGCTAAAGGTAATTTCGCTCAACGACGCAAATTGTTGCAAAACCAAAACATTAACCTGAAAATACGAGTCATTTTCTTAAATAGTTCTGTTCAGATTGATACTTTTTATATGGATGTCATTCATGGCACCAAAGTTGTTCATAGATATCTAAATTTTCAGTTCTATACAACCACTTTCCTAGATCAAGGTTTAAAAATTTCTTTAAGCAAATGAAGCCTGTGGATTTTGGTGAAGATCATTTGTTTTTGTGGACTGGAACTACAGGATCACAAGCAACGAACTGTACCAAATAAACGGCATCACTTAAGGACTTTCAACAACAGCAACAACTAAAATGGATAGCACATGTAACTCGAAGAAATAATAATAATAATAATAATAATAATAATAATAATAATAATAATAATGAACAAACAATCAAAGCTAATCGCCCTGACATCGTTATTAGAGGCCACAAACAAGAAAATTGCCTTCTTATTGACATGGCAGTCCCTGCAGACTGCAATCTATCTTTGATGGTCTTCAAAAAGCTATCAAAATACAAGGACCTTGAAATCGAAATATCAAAAATGTGGCCCATGAGAACATCAACAATACCTGTTGTAGTTGGAGCCCTCAGATTGATTAGGAAAGATTCTACTAGACTCATTGAAAGGAATCCTGGTAGCCTATGCCTTAAAGAAATACAAAAAAAAAGGTTCTCACGAGTACAGCTCACACCTTACGAAGGGTATTATCGTATTTTAATTGGTCAGTGGAAAATGTCATGATGCCATTTCTGACCTTAGCTCTCTGGTAGGGACCCGGAAAGAAATGAGTACACAACAGAAATGAAAGGAAATAAAACAACAACAACAACAACAACAACAACAACAATAATAATAATAATAATAAAGATGTTGACATTCCACCAAATTTCAAATTGAAAGTTAGGAAGGAAAATACCCATCAACACTGGAAAGAGCGATAAAACTTGAGAAACTTATTTCCCTGAAAATTTGTTTTAATCGAAATCTTTCATAAATTACAACTGGCAGCAGTACTGGCTGCTCGGTCAATGAATGCCAAATGTTTCCTTATAATGAAGACGGCTGATATTAGCATTGCAATTACTGGGCCGCTACGTTTCGATCGTTGCGCCAGTCGGTCTTCTTCAGTGGTCTTTCGAACTGGACGCTTTATTTAATCTTCGTGAGCAGATTGTTCTTTTGTCGATGTCCATCTCTCGGAATATTTCGTCTTGTACTTTTTCGTATATCTTAGTTATTGCTCGTCTTGTTTCAACTAAGTCTCATTCTGTACTACCTTATCCAAAGATTGAACGCACATAGTAATAGTAGCATGGCAATTGTGAGTTCAATCCCTGGGCTCGGTAATACAAACTCGGACGTAGTGGAAACATCATTAGCAAGAGTTGAGCTGTATTAAATAAGAACAAATCGAGATATCCCAAGACATGGATATCACAACGAGTGTAGATTAAATAAAGGGTCCGGTTCAAATATACTGAAGATTACTCAGACCTACAGACACCTGAAGAAAGCCGAGGGGACTAGCGGCTGAAATATTGTGATCGTAACAATGATGAAGATATTAGTCCAACTGAATATATTTATTTTTGAATTAACAGAAAATGTGGCACAAGGCCTAAATGGGGAAGAGGGAAAAAGACGGTTTTCTGTTTTAATTTTAAACTTAGCTAGCCACAAACGATGATTCAATCATACAAACAATATTCCTTGCTCCAAAACAACACATTCTTACGTACGTTTCTCACCACATCCACCATAATACCTCAATGTCTCCATGAAAATACTAACTATTCTCCATATATACAATTTATCGTCTGTGGTGGGAGGGAAATAAAACAACAATTTTAAAAACTAGCCCCAATGAGTATTTAATATTAGTCCAACTGAAGATATTCAGTCACCCCCCGACGAGGGTGTCATGTGGCACAAGGCCTTTTTAACGTGGGCATTCCGAGCCCGTGGGCTCGGCCAAAAATATGCCCATTGAACCCGTATAAACGGGTTCAGGGCTGATTTTACCTCCCCGAAGGAGACTCCGTCCTTCGGCGTAGCCTCCTTCGGGTTCCTCCCGTCCGTGGGAAGAGAGTTCAATCGAACAGTCGGTCCAGAAATGAACGACTGACTGACTCTATTAGTCCAACTGAAATTCACGCTGATGATATTCAAAGATTTTTATAATTTTCCGTTCTTTTAGGTACCTGTAAAAAGATTAAACTTTTGTGGTTATTAATTCTATATTTTCTTTATCGCATATGGCCATATCATGTTTAAACACCGGTTCTCGTACGATCATCGTAGTTAAGCAACGTCGAAATTGATTAGTAGCAAAATGGGTGACCGCTTGGGAATACCAGATGCTGTAAGCTTGGGTGCGCGGATGGTGTAATAGATAACGGCTTAGAATTATCAATCGGAGAGCCGAGTCCCATTTCAGTCAGTTCCATTATAGTCACTGGCGCGCAAATACCCTTGGGAAAGGTATAAATCCACATCTAGTCCCCCAGCTATGAGTTAATTAGTAGAAATTTTATCAATAAATCATTATCTAAATAATTCTTACAATCTAAAAATATTTCCAGCTTTAAATAAACTGCAAAAGTTTGACGAATCGTTAAAAACAAATAGATCAATCTATATTCTCTTAGAGAATTTATATATATATATATATATATATATATATATATATATATATATATATATATATATATATATATATATATAAGTGAACATAGAAGTCAACATTTAGAGGCAACAGTCTGTTTCATGCTAGATGCAATCGTCAGGACACAAGTGCTGTTATTTTTCTCAGCTATTTATATATATGGGTCAGTGGTGCATTGTGGTTAGTCTATTTTGGCGGTTATTTTACCGGAAGTCGTTTATTTGTTTATTTATTTGGGTTAAATTATTTTGCTTGTTTTTATTTTTTGTTTTTATTTTTTATTTTTATTTATATTTCTTATCTTATATATTTATTTATTTTTTATTTTTATTTTAATCGGTGTTTTTATTAAAGTAGTAAAAATTTGTTTATATCGCGTACCCGTATATATATAAATAGCCGAGAAAAATAACAGCACTCGTGGCCTGACGATTGCATCTAGCATGAAACAGACTGTCGCCTCTAAGTGTTAACTTCTATGTTCACTTTTATATTTACACACGCTCTATCTCTGATATTGAGCACTTTATCCCATAAATATAGCACATCTTAAGACTATATTTCTTCATATATATATATATATATATATATATATATATATATATATATATATATATATATATATATATATATCCCTTTAAAAACAAAAAGAAAATGTACGTTAATGCATTAATGATTATCGCACCAAGATATAAATTAATTGGTCATAGGTACAATCCTATAATTAATACCTCATTTTTATAAACCTATAATATTGGATTATTTTTTTTACAACGTACACTTTTTTTCTGTATAAACCTATGATTAATACGTTTTTTTTTTATAAACTTATAATTAATACAGATTTTTATTTTATACTTTTTAATCATTTCCGCCCCCCCTGTCTGTTGCTCCTACTATAGATCTCAAGATTCTTGACAAAAATTAAAGAACATAATCGATCCCGACCTGACATCACGATTTCTGACATTTTCTCATTGACGAAAGGTGTTTGTTTTTTACTGTAAATATATTCATGGCAACTTTTGGGAGCTGGTTTCACAAGAAGAGGTTCATAGGAAGAATCAGCTCCAGTGAAAATTACATCTCATCGATTGAATAAGAATGGTTCGCTATATGCGTAGCAAGGCGGATCTTAGATATGAAGGTTAGGACTGATGGAACTACGGAATATAGTTCGTCTGAACATTTTCCATGGAAATAAGGGAATAAAATAGAGAAAGATTTGCAATGTATCTTTATTCATAAAAACAAAATATGTACACGTTAACACTAATTAATTAATAAAAGTCATAGGATCCATGCCTGGTGTAGCATCAGGTACTTTATTATTATTATTATTGTTATTATTATTATTATTATTTGATTTCTGGCGTTTACACATTTCTTTCCGAAGAACACTTACACTGACAAAAAAAAAATTAAATTACATAGATAAAGCCCTTCGTAAGGTGTGGGCTGTACTTGTCAGAACAATTTTTTGTATCACTTTGAGGCATGGACTTCCAGGAATCCTTTCAATTAGTCTACTGCAATCTTTTCCAACCAGTCCTTAGGCTCCAATTACAACAGGGATTGTTGATGTTCCCATATGCCACATTTTCGAGATTTCTATTTCAAGGTCCTTGTATTTTGACAACTTTTTGAATATCTTCAAAGATACATTGCAGTCAGCAGGGACTGCCATATCAATAAGGAGGCACCGTTTTTGTTTGTGGTCTTTAATAACGATATCTGGCCGGTTGGCTTTGATTGTTCTGTCAGTGTGTATTGTGTAGTCCCATAGAATTGTAACAGGTCCTATCTCCGTAACCGGGTCTGGGTGGTGTTCATACCATTTTCTTTCAGTTTCCTTCCCGTAGAAGTTGCAGATTTTCCAGTGCAGATATTGGCCCACTCCATCATGTCAGGTTTTATATTCAGTGGGTGCCAACACCGTGCAACCTGATACAAGATGATCAATCGTTTCTGGATATTTATCACAGAATCTGAATTTTGGGCTGGCACAATATTTTATTTTTTCTGGGCAACTTGTATGTTGATGTTACCTGAGACACTGTTAGTAGAATTGTTCATTTCTTTTCTCACGAAGCCAAGAGCTCCGATTACTATTAATACAATCTCAGTCTTCATTCCGCACATCCTGTTAATCTCGATCTCCAGGTCCTTATATTTGGACAATTTCTCCATAGTTTTTATGGAGGTGTTTCCCTCAGGTGATACTGCTATGTCAATAATCATACACTTTTTGAATTTCTTGTCTTCCCTTGTTTTTGAATTGGTATATCCCTGAGGATAGTTACATCGTTATTTTAGGTAACTGTATCTGGTTAGTGCTCATATAATCTCTCAGTGGTTTCGATGTTGTGTTTCTTGCATATCTTCCAGTGCACATATGTCACTACCTTGTTATGTCTCTGGGTATATTCATCTTTTGCTAGTTCCGGACATCCTGGGATAATATGATCGACAGCTTCATCATATTTTCTGCAGATCCTGCATTTAGAGTTAGTTCCATCTTTGATTATGTGACAGTGATAGGATCTGGTGGCGAGGCTTTGGCACTAAGCTGCAATAATTAGGCCTTCTGTCTCAGCTTTCAACCCGGTGCTCATCAGCCACTGATGTGTTTTCTGTTGGTCCACATCTGCATCTTTCGTTCTTTTTATGTATTTGCCAAGCAACGCCTTGTCCTCCCAGTTTTATTTTTGTACTTTCATTTGGCCATGTTCCTTTGCTTTGTTCGTTTGGCGTAGATGTCATTCGCTTCGTTTGTTATTGGTAAGATTTCTTGTTTATCAAGCAGTTTCTTGAAGAGTAAAGCTTCTTTGTTGATGGAATAGATTTGGCGCTTTATTATTTGTAGGAGAGGGTCATTGGTTTTTGTAAGATATGTTTCCACTCCGATTTTTGTAGTTTTTCGAGTTAGTTCAAGTTGGGTTAGATCTCGCCTCCCTAAAGTTCTTGGTACGTACAGCCTATTAACATTTCATTTCGGGTAGTGAATCCTCATTTGGGTAAGCATTTTTCGGGTCTTTTAATGTCATTCAACTTCCATTTAATAATTTTGAGCTGTACGTTATTACGGTCATAGCTAAGGTGTTGATAACCTTAATTTTATTGGTCCCATTAAGTTTCATTTCTAGTATCAGACGCACTCTCCTATAAAATTCTTTTCAGAACTTTTTATTCATAATTGAATGTTGTAGTCTATCTCTTTCATTAATTCCTAAATATTTCTAGGTACCATCTTGGTCTAGTTTCTTAATCTTGTTGATATCAAGGTTTAAATCTTTAGGTTTCTTTAGTTTACCATCTTTGAAGGTGGCTTTGGCACATTTGTCGTCTCCGAACTCCATCCTCATGTCTTCGCTGAAGCTGTTGACAATGGTGAACAGGATTTTCTTTATTATTATTATTATTATTATTTTTATTTCCTTTGATTTCTGGCATTTACACCTTTCTTTCCGGGTCCCGGCCAGGGACCTAAAGTTAGAAATGGCATCATGACACTTTCCACTGACAAAAAAAAAAAAAAAATATATTACATAGATAAAGCCCTTCGTAAAGTGTGGGCTGTCAGAACAATTTTTGTATCTCCTTGAGGCATGGACTTCCAGGAATCCCTTCAATTAGTCTACTGCAATCTTTTCCAACCAGTCTTAAGGCTCCAACTACAACAGGGATTGTCGATGTTCCCATATGCCACATTTTCGAGATTTCTATTTATTATTATATTATAATTATTATATTATATTATTATATTATTATAATATTATATTATATATATTATATATAATATTATATTATATATATTATATATAATATATATATTACTATATTATATATAATATTATATTATATATATATATATTATATTATATATATTATATATTATATTACATATATTATATATAATATTATATTATATATATTATATATTATATTATATTATTATATATTATTTATATATTATATTATATTATATTATTATTATTATTATTATTATTATTCTTATTATTATTTCCTTGATTTCTGTTGTATACACATTTCCTTTCCAGGTCCCATCCAGAGACCTAAGCTCAGAAATAGCTTCATGACACTTTCTACTGATCATTTATTAAAAAAGATACCCCTAAGATCACATACATTTTACAAAGCTAATGCTGTTCGTAATGTATGAGCTGTACTTGTGAGTACAATTTCTTTTTTGTATTTCTTTTAGGTACGGGCTACCAGGAATCCCTACAATAAGTCTATGGAAACCTTTCCCAATCAATCCGAGAGCTTCAACTACAACTGGAGTTATTGATATTCTCGTGTGCCACATTTTTTAGATTTCCACTTAAGATCTTTGTATTTTGATAGTTTGTCTGAAGGTCTTCAAAGATACATTAAATTCTGCAGGGACTGCCAAATCAATAAGAAAGCAAATTCTGTTCTTGTGGTCTTTGATCTTTGATGTCTGGGCGATTAGTTTTGATTGTTCTGTCTGTGTATATTGTAAAGTAACATAACATTGTTACAGGTCCTATCTCTGCAATCGGGCCTAGGTAAGGTTTATACCTGTTTCTTGCAGTTTCCTTCCCGTAAAAGTGACATATTTTCCAATGCAGATATTCGTTCACTCTATCATGCCGAATTTTATATTCAGTGGGTGCTAACCTCATACAAGATGGTCATTTGTTTCTGGATATATATC